GCATGTGGGCTTCAGTAGTCGTGGCATGTGGGCTTCAGTAGTTGTGGCTCGCGGGCTCTGGAGTGCACAAGGAAGTCCCCTCATAAACTGTTGATAGGAGTATAGGTTCATACATTTATTTGGCACAACTTTCTGGCTAGATCTACTAAAGCTGAGCTCTGGGATACTCCATGATCCAGAAATTCCACGTCTAGGTAGGGATGCCACAGAACTGTGTGCCCACACTCAGTAAATGACATGTTCTGGGAGACTAGAAGCAGCTGTGTTCATAGGAGTCAAAAAGTGGAAACTAGCCAAATGGCCATCACCAGTAGAATGGAGAAATAAACCGTGGTGTAGTCGTACCGTGGCACACTCCTCAACAAGGAGAAGGAATGAACAACTACATGCAAGATCATGGACAAATTTCATGAGCCTAATGTTGAGCGAAAGAAGCCAGAGACAAAAAGACTACGTATTGTATGTTTTCATTCATGTGAAATGCAAAAGCGGGCAAAGTTCATCCATGCTAGTAGAAGTAAGGATAATGGTGACCCTCTGGTGGGGAGGTAACCAGAAGGGAGTCTTCTGAGTTCTTTTAATGCTCTCTTTATTCATCTGGTTACAGGGGATGGCCAATCTGTGAACGTTCCTCAAATTTATGATATGTGTACTTTTTTGCATGTATGTTACATTTCAATAAAATGTTTAAAAAATATTCTTCTCCATCTCCTGATGACTTAATGGAGAAAAATTGCAGCTTGGGTCTGGCTTGCATTTAATACTTCTCTGGCTTGGGCCTTCCCTAGTGGCACAGTGGTTGAGAATCTGCCTGCCAATGCAGGGGACACAGGTTTGAGCCCTGGTCTGGGAAGATCCCACGTGCCGCAGAGGAACTAAGCCCGTGTGCCACAACTACTGAGCCTATATGTGCCACAACTACTGAGGCCCACGTGCCTAGAGCCTGTGCTCCGCAGCAAAGAGAGGCCACCGCAATGAGAAGCCCGTGCTCGCTGCGACTTGTGAAAGCCCATGCGCAGCAGTGAAGACCCAACGCAGACAAAAATTAAAAAAAAAACAACAACAAAACTTCCCTGGCTCATCTTTTGTTAATCAGAAGAGTATATCAGCTTCAGAGGCTGCAGTAAGCAACAGTATCCAACTTGAACTGAATAATGTTTCTTTTTTTTTTTTTTTTTAATTTATTTATTTATTTTTGGCTGTGTTGGGTCTTAATTGTGGTGTGCAGGCTTCTCACTGCGGTGGCTTCTCTTGTGAAGCATGGGCTCTAGGAGCGCGGGCTTCAGTGGTTGTGGCATGTGGGCTCAGTAGTTGTGGCACATGGGCTTAGTTGCCCTGCGGCATGTGGGATCTTCCCAGACCAGGGCTCGAACCCGTGTCCCCTGCATTGGCAGGGGGATTTTTTTTTTTTTTTTTTTGCTGTACGCGGGCCTCTCACCCTTGTGGCCTCTCCCGTTGCAGAGCACAGGCTCCGGACACGCAGGCTCAGCGGCCATGGCTCAAGGGCCTAGCCGCTCAGCGGCATGTGGGATCTTCCCGGACAGGGGCACGAACCCGTGTCCCCTGCATCGGCAGGCGGACTCTCAACCACTGCACCACCAGGGAAGCCCAATAACGTTGTTTTGTTTTCATTTTGTTTATTTTTATGGTTGCTATCTATACATGGCCATCAATACTGCCTTTCCATTTATGGTAGTGATATAAAATTTAAAAAATATAGCTTTAAGTAAAAAAGGAAAAAAAAGCAAATTGACTTACATTAAAAAAATATTATGTAAATGATAGTACAGGTGGTACTTAGTTATGGTAAACCTTGTGAGGGTGGAGTCTGTGAAACACTTTTCAAATGGAAAAAGGCAGGGTTTAGGGGGAGGGGAGAAAACCAGTTTCAACCTGTTCCCATCTCTCAACGAGTCCTTACTGCTTAGTGCCCGGCACAGACAGGGCTCTCAGGCCAAAGGACATCACAGAAGAATTCATGAGAAATGTAAAGGAAGGTATGCTCCAGGAATGGTGGGCAAAGCAGGGGGCTAAAAGCTGAGAACCTGGGTTCATTCAAGATTTATCCAGCCTCTCTGTACCAGGCACTGTTCTAGGCCCTGGTCCTACAGTGATGAACAAAACGGTGGAGTCTCAGGCCAGCCAGTAACCTGCCTGTGGTCTTGGTCAAGCCCCTCCTCTTCCTGAGACTTCAATCCATTGAGGATGTTCTGTGATTGAAGCCTCAGCAGCTGCTGGCCCTTCTGGAGTAGAACTATGAACCTCAGAGTGGTTAGGAAAGGACTTGAAAAAGATGGGGTTGTTGGTGGTGAGTGGATGTGTGTACACAGGGAAGAGGGTTACTCTTAACCAGGGAATGAAGAGAAAAGAATTGGTGTAGGATCTTCAGACTCATTAGAAAGAAAAATCTCGTTGAGCACTTGGCATTTGTCAAGTTAGCCTTACTTTGTTTGCTTATCTCCTTGGTTCTTGGCTTAGGAGAAGAACCTTAGGATCAAGAACCTTAAAGGAGATGGAAGGAGAATGCATCTCAAAAGGTAAGTGAGGAGCTGAACGAATGAATGAACGAGTGAATGAATGAATGAATGAGTGAATGAATGAATGCCTCTCCTATCCTCTCAGTAGATTCATGATTCATCCCTACCTTTCATCCCCAGCTGCTGGGCATTGCAATGGTGACTGAGATCGGTGCCCTGTGAGGGGTATTTCTAGAGATAGTACTTTTCATTCATTCACTAATTCATTCATTCAACACATTTATTGAGTGCCTACTAGGTGCCAGGCACTATATTTTAGACCTGTTTCCTGTCCAATCTGGCAGCTACTTGCCACATATGGCTATTGAGTATCTGAATTTTGGCTAGTTCAAACTGAAATGTGCTGTAAGCATAAAATACACCTCAGAGCTCGAGGATTTAGTATGAAAAAAAGGAGTGTTAAATCTCTCTCACTAATAATTTTTAATGTTGACTACACCTTGAAATGATACTTTGAACAATTTAAGTTAAATAAAGTACATATGAACAAATTAAGTTAAATAAAGTATATATTAAAATGGGTTTCATCTATTTCTTTTTACTATATTTTAAAGTGACTACTAGAAAATTGAAAATTTCCCATGTGGCTCACGTTTGTGGTTTGCAATAGATTTTTATTGGACAGCATCATGCTAGAGTATCTCTACTCTGCAGATGCTCAGACTCTAGTGGGTGAGACCAACAGAAACAAATGTTACTGAGCTGGCACAGTATGCCAGGGCACACAGAGGAGGAGTGACCGGCAGCCTCCTCATGCCTGTCTCTTAGTTCTGTCAGATCTGCACTAGACACAGCTCTAGTGATTTCCAGAAGTCCAGCTCTGTCTCTTTCACTCCTCTGCCCAAATATGGGTGCTGCACCCCCCTGCTCAATTAAATGAAGCCAAATCTCCACACAAGTCAACTGGATTTCCTGCCCGTCCTCCCCCTGCCCCCAAGCCTCCGCTGGCCAAAGTGGAGACTTCCTCTCTCCAACCTCGCTTTCCCATTTCCAGGTCCTTGACTTAGCTGGTCCCTCTGCTCAGGATGCCCTTGCTATGCCTGCATTTCCCCTGGTAGAATTCCAAGCTTCAATTTCAATTCTGACCTGCCCCTGCAATCCCCATCACCTTACCATCTAAATATTTCTCCTGCTCAAAGCCTCTGACAACCAGTTATTTGTTCATTTCACCAAACTCTCACCCATAACATCGTTAGTTCCTTAAGATCGGGAACTTGCCTTCCTGGGGCATCTAGCTCACCTTCAGGGCCAGGTGGCCACTTGGTAAGTTGCTGCTCAGTAGAATCAAATGGCTCTCAGTTTTAAAGTTAGAAAGAGCTGGAGTGGAGGGCCCTGGTGGGGGAAGGGTGGCACGGAGGTGTTGAGAAATTATACTTGGGCTGGAGGTAGCTTAATGGTCCAACCCCCACCAAGAGAATCTCTTTGACAAGGAGCTTTGTTAGGGTCACAGGAGGTGGGTGATGATTAAAGTGGGGTCCAGCCTGGAATTTCCTGGAGTTGGGGACAGCTTGGATCAAAGAATCAATCTGAACAATGAAGGGAGGCCATTCTTGTCCATCTGATTTATTGGAGAGAGCTCGAAATGACCTTACCCCAGGACATTCTCCTACACCTGGAAAGCTGATCTGACGTAAGACCCCTGAAGCAGGGTGTTCTGTCCTGCAGCAAATGCCTCGCGATCTGTGGGTGGAGGCCCAGGTCCCCAAGGGACTATTTGTGGGGGGAGGTGGAGCAGAGTAGGCGGAGAGGAAGGGAGGTTTCTTAGTGTCCAGAAATTGCATTTCAGGTACTTATATGTTACCAAATGCTTGCAGGGTTGAGAAACTGAAATGGTCCCTAAGAGGTGCTGTTCGGGGTAGGCTGATCTAGAGGATGTGAACAGCCTCCTGACTCCTAAGTCACTGTCCCAAGCAACACGACAGCAGTGGGACCCGAGGATGGAGGGAATTGCTGGGAGGGGACTGTAATCTACTTGAAGGTCATGTCTGCCGTCCTTTGCATTCCCTCCAGCAGTGAGCCCAGCGCCGGCCACATGGGAGGCGCGCAAACGAAGCCCTTCCGAATTGAACCGAAAACAGGAGACAAAAGCACCCACTCTTGTCCACTCCCGCGCCAATCTTACCCAAACCCCCAAGTTATTCTCATCCTCCAGGAGTCAGGGAGCCCGGGGTAGAAGGGTGTGGAGGGAGAGAGGCCAGGGGGTGTAGGGGACCCACGCAGCACGCAAGGAAGTGGAGATGGGCGAGTGGGCGTGCGCGCACGCAGAGGCCCGCGCGCGGGAGTGTCGGGGGAAGGGGGTGGTCTCCAAAAGGGGGAGGGGAGAAGGCAGGGGGCGGGGAGAAGCAGGGCCCTTTAGGACCCGGCTGCGGCGGCGGGGGAGGAGAAAGAAGCGGAGGAGGCGGCTCCCGCGCTCGCTGGGCCGTGCCACCTGCCCGCTCGCTCGCCGCCGTCGCGCTCACCGCCGCCAACATGCTGCCGAGACTGGGCGGCCCCGCGCTGCCGTTGCTGCCGCCGCTGCTGCTGCTGCTGCTGGGCGCGGGCGGCGGCGGCCGCGGGGCGCGCGCCGAGGTGCTGTTCCGCTGCCCGCCCTGCACGTCTGAGAGCCTGGCCGCCTGCAAGCCCCCACCCGCCGCGCAGCCCGCCGCCGAGGCCGGGCCGGCCGGCGACGCCCGCGTGCCCTGCGAGCTGGTCCGGGAGCCGGGCTGCGGCTGCTGCTCCGTGTGCGCCCGGCTGGAGGGCGAGCGGTGCGGCGTGTACACCCCGCGCTGCGGCCAGGGGCTGCGCTGCTATCCCCACCCGGGCTCCGAGCTGCCCCTGCGGGCGCTGGTCCACGGCGAGGGCACTTGCGAAAAGCACGGGGATGCCGAGTACAGCGCCAGCCCCGAGCAGGTTGCAGGTAACGCTGGTTGGGACAACTAGTTAGGAGAAACTTGGAGGGCAGCGGGGGAGCCTGGCTGGCGGCCCTTCTGGAGGGAAGGAATGTGTGGCGGAACCTCAGAGACCGTTTTAGCGGAGGGAGAGCGGAGTCCTGGACCGGCTCTGGGCGATTGTTGGGAGGGGGGACCCGAAAGTAAGGCCCGGGCGGGGGGAACTGGAGTTCGAGCGTGGGGAAGATCCCTGGCTACTAATTTGGTGGGGAAAAATAGGGAGAGAGAAGGCATCCCTGTTACCATAGTCTTCCCCGGTGGAATGTACCCTGACTTCTTTTTTTGGAGGGGGGATTTCCTGGGGAGGAGGGTGTCGGTCAGATCGGTGTGAGTAGGAGCTTGAGGCTTACTTGGGGCGCCGCTTGAGCTGGTGACCACCGACCGAAGGTTCCTGGAGAGGTCCTGGTGGAGGACGCCGCCGTGGGCTGAGGCTGGCGGGTACCGGTGACACCAGGGACCTCTAGTGAGAAGGGGGCGCTAGGAGAAGGCAGCGGCGCCTTGAGGTCCCTTCTTTCTGGGATTGTGAGGTGAGAAGAAAGGACTTGTTGGTACTTTGTAGGGTGGGCTGCCTAGGGGGAAAATTAAAAAGGAACGTTGCTATTTCAGAGAGGACGAAGAAGGCTCTTGCTTTTATGTCGGGTGGAACGATAAGAGAGGGACGTTTGGGAGGCGAGGAAGAGACCCCATTCGTTGAGTCACTGTAACTTAAGCCGGGTCGCCGGCTGCGGTCCGGGGCGGGGGCAGCCAGGCCGCTCAGTTTAGCATCTGGGCCTCCGGGCGTCTGGCAGGAGGATGCCTGGGCCGGGGCGCAACTACTCTTACCGGAGCGAGGTGTTGCCCTCCCCCCACCCCCCCATCCTAATTGAAGGAGCTCTTCCTGTCCCATAGAATGGGGGCCCTGAGGTTCTTTGTACGGAGCTCGCATACCCCCAAACAAGTTTTTTGGGGGACACAACCAGGCTATAAAGATCTCTCACGTGTTGGTTTTTTTTGTTGTTGTTGTTTTGTTGTCGCTTTTGTTTTTTAAATTACAAAAGCCTCCTGCCCCAGTGGTCTGGAGGAAGCTGTAATTATTTTCTTTCCTCTTGGAGACAGTGGTGAAATGTGTCCACTGCCTGCTGCTGTTGTTTAAAAAGCAAGTTTCTCAAACTTAGAGGGAGAAAAAAAAAAAAAAGAAGGAAAGAAAGAAAAGAAAAAGTGAAAAATTCGTGCTTGCTTGTCAGCTTCTGCGGTCCTTGGCCCCCTCCCGCCCCGGACACACCCCGCCCCCCTCCTTCAGCCTGCTATTGTTTTTTTTCCCTGTTCTCCTTGGGAATACAATTAGGGGTCAGAGTTGAAATCTTTTCTTTGTCGCATTTTGACCTTGAGTGCACAGCAAGTTAGGGCTTCCTCTGAGCGGAACCCCTCAAGTCCCTTTCTTCTCACTCCGGCTTGCTTCCCTCCCTAGCCTGCCTCGAAGTTAACCCTTTCCTCCAGCTTCTCTTAGTAATAGTGAAAGGGAGAAGCCCCAGCAAAGGTCCTTTCACTGTGGGTGCCCATCCCCCCAGCGCCGCGTTCCTCCTCCTTCGCCCCCCAGCACCCCGTGGTCCACCGGGGAGGTACTCTGGTTTCTGAGCTGAACTCTGACAAACTAAACATCTCCCTCAGCAGGGTGAACTTTTGTTCAAAAGACCTCCACGTTCATAGAACCGTTTGAATTCTGACTGTTTGAACCAAGTGCGTAGCACATGTCCTTCCTAACCTTCCTAGCCTGGCTGTGTCCCTCAAAAAACTTGTTTGGGGGCATTTTGTCATTCTTCATTCCTCTCACTCTCTGCCTGAAAACCAACTGTCCTGCCTCCCAGCCCCCAGAGGCAGGTTAGGGTCTTCAGAAGGGAACAGATGCTGGGAATTCTCCCATTCACTCCACCCTGGAGTCGCCAGGGGAGCTCGGGGACAATGGGGTGAGTTCATGGGAAGAATGTCACTGTGGATTTTCTGCCTGGTTATGGGACTCCTTTCCGCCAGCCAGCCCCAGCTGCCTCCACAGCCTGCTCCCAGCGGCCAGACAGCCGCCTTCCGCATTTTTCTCCTGTGCTCCAGACTGGGAAGAGGGGACACCAAGGTTGGGGGTGGGCGGAAGCTGAGCGGGTGCCCTGGAAAGAAGTGCTAAGAGCGGGGTGTCGGAGGCGTGAAGAGGGCTGAGGGGAAGGGGGCACTGTGAAGAGGAGAGAAGCCTGGGCTTGCTGGGGTGCAGGGAAGAGAGAGAGGGGCAGGTTTTGAGGCTCCTGTGCAGGAGAGGGTCTTGAGCCAGGGCAGGGATCGGGGTGCTGCGTGGGGACTGCAGGGGTCCGAGTTGGGTGAGGTGTGCCGACAAGAACGTGGCCCCGATGAAACCTTAGCACCGAATGCTGCCGCCTCCTTTCCGTCTCCCATTTCTCCTCCCCCCTCTGAAGAATGACCCCCCCCCCCAGCCCCATCCCAGCCTGCATTCCTCTTTGAGCAGGTTGCTTTTGAGAATTTTAAACATACCCTCTTATTTCGAGGCAGCAAACCCCAGCAGTTCCGGCTTTGCTGTTAGCTCTTTTGTCTTTGTTCCCTGGACTCAGGGGCTGTGTTGCTGGCTTCCTGGGGATGGCTGGGATGCAGGGGGTGGGGGTGGGCACATCAGCGGGTGCTGAGCCTGCATCCCATGGGGGTGATGGGCTGGGACTTGGTGGTTCAAAGAAACCCAGAAGTCAGACGGAGGCGCGGATTGAGGGGTGGGGGGCTTAGAGTGGGTGGGCCTGGAAGACAAACAGGAGGGGGACCCTGAGATCTGCATGAAGTCTGGACCTGAGAAATGCGTGGGTGTGTTTGGTGGTGGCGTGAACAGAAGTGCCTAGAAATGTTAGGGAAAGGAAAGGAAGCAGGCCTGGGCCAGTCCGGGCCCTTTCAGAATTCAGGGCCTCGGCTGGGCCGGACTGGCTCCCTCACGCATCTCCCCTGCCTCCTTCCCTTCCGTGTACAATGCCGGGGATTATGCCGAGGGGCGGAGCTGCCCAAGTGGCCGTCTGGCCCGCTGCACTTATAAAGGTGCTATAGAAATGTGCAGTCATTCAAAGTCCCAGGGCCGGCCGGCCGGCGGGCGGGCGGGCCTGGGGAGGCTTTGCATCTGCAGTTGCTGGGGGAGCATAAAGGGGGGCAGAGGCGAGGGCTGATTTACAGTGGTTCAGTGCAGCTTCAAAGAAAGGGGAGAAAAAGCAACGGGACTTCTGGCTCAGAGCGCTGCTTTGCATCTTGTCTTGCATAAATTTGCATACTGAGTTCAAAGTCGTAAAATAGTCTTGGGGAATGAGTGGGACCTACTGTCACTGATTGCTAGCGTCACTACCTTCCCCCACCACCCCCCCCCCACCCTAGACAGAATACCCAGAACTAGCTCTGCTAAGCAGCTCTGCCTGAGTGTGTTGGAAGGGGAGATGGGGGACTGGAGGGCTGCTGCTTCTGGGTCCCTCTGGGGAGACCGAGATCTGTAGTTCCTTGACTACAGGGGTTAAGCAGGGTGTGGCTCTGTGAGCTGTGGCCTTGGAAGCAGGGCTGGTCTGGAGGGTGTGACTCCACAGGTCCCGAACCGACTAGGCTGAGGCAGGCAGTGTTGGAGTCTTTGCCCGCTCACCTTCCACTCCCATCCAGAGTGTTCACGGAGATCGTTCCCAACGTGTAGTGATAATGACCCCATCTGTTCCTTTGATGAGATATTTGAGGAAGCTTTGAGAAAAAAAAAAACCCTATTAACAGTGTCAAAAGATCTTACAAAAACAAAACCAGAGGTAAGGAGTATCTGAATTAGAATAGGTGGTAGAGGAGAGGGGGAAAGAAAAACCCACCTGTTGTGGACATGAGGGTCTATCTGTGCAGTGGTTCTTGGCCTAATTGGACCCTTGAGTTTCCTGGCAGGCAAAGGGAAAAGGGAGGGTTAGATGGTTCTCACTATTAGCTTACCTTAGCAGTGAGCTTTAAAATAAACTTTTCAGGCACATCATTCCTTTGGGGGAAAGAATTCCTACAGAAATGCCTGCAAGGTGCCTGAGAGTCGGGATGTGTTCAATCACCAGCTGTCAGACACTGAGGGTGACTTTGAGAGCATCACTGTTCTCTAGCCCATTTATCAGGTTAGCTCCTCGGTTCTCAGATTAGCTATTCTCTGCTGTAGAAAATGGGACACACAATTGCTAAGTTCTGATACGAGCAGGTTCCAAAGATTCGTGGTTCTAATGAAATGCAGGACAGGAGTACCCGAGGTGGGGAGGGGTGGGCAGGGCAGGGGCTGCTAAAGGGAATGAGAGAGAAGTAGAAAATGAACAGGCTGTGCCCATGTTTGGTTTTTTTATTGGTCCTCCTCACATACTACAAAACCGTACCAACAAAAACAAGGCTTGGTTATCATTATCATTATTTTTTAAAGAGACTGCTTATCCAGGAACTGCATTAGTTTTAGTCTCTCTCTTCTCTGTGTTCCCAGCTCCCCTTTTCCTTCTCTGCTTTCTCCATCCTGTCTTCACAACCCACTCTAGACCGTTCTCTCTCTCCCATGCTTCTCTCACTAGAAGTCTAGCACACCTGGCTGGTTGCTAAGCAGGTGGACAGGGCTCGAGAAAGTGACATGGAAAATAGATTGGCCCGGGCTTCCTCAGGGATCCAAGTAGATGGAGACCACATAGATGATTGGGGATTGGCGTGTTTGAACCAAATCTGACCCTTAAATGAGGAGGGCGGTTGACTGGCAGTGCAGGGGCTGGGCTTCGTGGGCGGAGGTGCCTGCTAGGGCTGCTTCTGCCAAAACCAAGGCACAGAGGAGCGAGGTTAAACTTCTAATGCGCCAGGGTGCTGGCGATCTGGTTGGCAGATGTTTGGAGCCCCTCTGGTTCTCCTTGCTGTCTCTGGCCAGCATTTCGCTGAGATGGCAGGCAGCCTCCCGCCTGTCCTCATCCTGGTATGAACTGCTTAT